CGCTTTGCAATATAAATGAGTGGCGCCATGTTTTATTATCTTTTCAAATATACAAACACGGTTCCTAGGAGAAAAACCTTAAATCTCACTATCTACTCACGTTTCTCGATGTATGCAGTCATCTTTTAAAGTGCAAGACATGACCTTTAACCCAGATTCCAGTTTTCTTTGCTCAATAAGCCCTGACCATGCCAAAACTAGAACATAGGCATATTACTTCCAGATAGACGAGCACATGCATGTTTAAATTTATTTTGAATAATAGCATTGCCAGATATAAAGTTTCTGATTTGTATTTTCTTTGTCTTAAATGTCTTGAATGTGTTCCTCCACTGTTTAATTACCTTGTAGGTTATGCTGAGAACTTATCAATGTCCTAATTTTATGCCTCATGAGTAATTTTGTCTTTAACCCATAAAGTCCTGAGGATATTGTTTTTCTTCTTAAAGTCTATTCATTTTATTAAAATGTGTGTGCTCTGTCTGCAGGATGGGCACACTTATAGCTCTGACTCAGGTAGTGCAAAGGCAATTCATATAACCAAAGTATTTGTACCCCTGTAATATTCTGAATATTTTTTTAAAAAATGGGTTTCAGAATTGGTAACTGTTAGGTTTAAAGACTTCACCTTCCCCAAACTTCCATGCAAATCTCCTGTAAAACCCACACCTCTTCCCTTGGTAGAGGTGTATTAGGCACCCTAGCCATTTCCAGACCTCAAAAGAGATAAGGGAATGAAATGCAAAAGGAGAAATTACTTTCCTTAGCCTTGCCAAACCCCTAAGGAGAGAAGGGAATGAAATGCAAAAGAACTTACTTTCCTTAACCCTTCTATAAGGAGGATGCTTATCCCTCTAGATAAGAACAATGCTTATGCCTCTTGGTTGTTCCCTAGGGAGATAAAAGAACAGAATGCAAAATGGGAACTTACTTTCCTTATCCCTCCAGGGTGTTTGAAAATAATTTATTTACTTCTTCCAGAAAAATGCTCTATAAAACCCAGGTTCTACCCTTTTCTCTGATGTATGCCTTTTTTGGCCTCTACCCATCTGCACCCAGATGCTCAAAATAAACAGCATTTTGCTACACATGAGGCTTCTTGTATGTCTCTCAGCTCCAAACCTAATAGTCACATTGGGTCAGTTATGTCAGGTACATTTTGAAAACTTTCAACAAGTAAATACAGGTCTTTTTTTCACTTCTAGAAAATTTTCCTGAATTAGTTTTAAATATTAGTTGTATTCCATTTTGGATTTTGTATGTTTAATTTGTATGTTCAGGCACTTTGGTTATAAATATGTTGGCAATCACTGGACTATCAATCATTTCTAACACTTTTTGTCTGACAACCTCAATGTATTTATTTTTCTCATTTTCATTCTCTTTCTTGTTTTCCTGTCTCTCTTTAATTTCCCTAGTGAAAATAGTTAAATGTATTACCTCCTGGACACCTTATGATTTAGTCTTTCTTAATGACGTCATTGTATTACTTTCTTTAATTCTTTTAATTCTTTCCTGAGTTCAATCACCTTCGTTTTCAGTTTCTGATTCAAATGTTTTCACACTCTTAAATGTTTGTGTGTGTGTATAGTGTTTTGGGGAAGTGGTAGAAGGAGCATTTTTTTATATTTTGGTTACCGTTCCCAGTATTCCTCAGAGCAGCTTTGTATAGATGTAGATTTTCTTTCTTCATTAATATTTTTGACAAGGGTGAAGATTCATGGCTTAAAAGAATCCTATTCCAAGAATGTCCCTTTCTTCTAGTATAGTGAAAAGCAGTTTCCTTAATAATTGAGTTACATTTTTTGATAGTATGGAATGGGACTGAGATGCCTCGCATTTTGCCATTTTACTTCCTTATTTTTCAGAATCCTTTCATCCTTTGTTTCTTTCACTATATCATCTCCAGGAGTGTCTCCTCTATTCTATTTATCTCTTTCTCACTAATACTTCCCAGAGACTGGAACTTCTGATTTCAAATACTTTCAAATCCTTTCTCTGTGGCCAATGGAAAATGAAACTCATTTTGTTTGTTTGCTTTCTCCCTGTATCCAGTGTTGGACTTGTTTTTCAATTAAATTTTTCAAACTCTTTTTTGGGTAATTTTGCTTGTCATCTGCTTTCTCTTAGTCCTTCCCTTTCCTCTCTTTGTTTCCACCGTGCCCTTAGACTCTTCTCTCATCCTACATGTGGGCTAGGGACAGTGGCAGTGAGGGTCAGAAAAAAATCTGTTGGAATTTGGTGATTATTTCTCTTGCTGCAATTTTGAAATGTTTAGTATTTGTTTTTCCTAGTAATACTGCAGCTGCAGCCTTTTTATTATTTTCATTGTGCTCGTTTTTTGTCTTGTTTGGACTTTTGGAGAACATGTGAAGTATAGGATGTTTAAGATTAGGATGACTTTTGGGGGGGGGATTGGGCTTTTTTTGAACCTTTAAATTTTTTCCCCCCTTATTTTGCGGAATTAAAAAAAAAAAAGATTAGGATGATACAATTTTCATAAGGCAAAGTACAAAACTTGGAACATTTCCCGTTCAAGTTATTTATCCTTGTGTTAAATTTAAAAAATGTATATATATCTTCCATTTGTTTATTTTGCATTAAAATTTATATGCTATAGCTTTTTCTCTATTTGTTTCAATTTGTTATATATAGCATATAGTGATGATTTCACTTATGTCTGTCTCCCTTTTAATATACTAATGTAACTAATTCATGTGTAACCCTTTATTGAAATAAGAAATATATACTAAAACATGCTCATATAATTAGTGTCCAATTCTCTGAATTTTCACAAATTGAACACACCCACAGTACCAAGCATCCAGAAATGGAAGATCATCCACTATGCAGAAGTCCCCTTGTATTCCATTCAAATCTCATACTCTTCCTAAGAAAAAGCTATTAGCTCATTAGCTTCTAATATAAATGCTATTAGAAGTCAAGAGATATAATACTAGCTTACAATACTAGCTTACATTAGTTTCGCCTATTTTTCTCTAATTTTGTGCACTATTTTAGCTAATTACCTCATGTTATACTGTATTACATTAGTGAAATGTATACATATATTTTTATGCACTTCATTTGCCAGCCTGTGTAGTATTCTATTTTGTGTGGATACAATTGATAGACAATTGTAACTCACTCATATTTCCTGGATTATTATTATTATTATTTTTTAAACAGAGTCTCACTCTGTTGCCCAGGCTAGAGGCCATGGCATCAATCTACCTCACAGCAACCTTCAACTCCTGGTCAAGCAATCCTTCTGCCTCAGTCTCCCTGAGTAGCTGGGACTACAGCCACCAGGCCCACTAATTTTTCTATATATTTAGTTGCCAATTAATTTTTTTATTTTTAGTAGGAGATGGGGGTCTCATCTTGCTCAGGACTGGTTTTAAACTCCTTACCTTGAGTGATCCACCAGCCTTTGGCCTCCCAGAGTGCTAGGATTATAGGCATGAGCCACTGTGTCTGGCCTTTCCCGGATTATTTGATGTCTGGACGTTACTCTTCCACTTTTCATCTCTTTC